GTGTGGGGACGGTGGCCACTCTAAGACAGATTGCTCTTCTATCCAGGCTCGCTGCCTCAATTGTGGTGAGGTGAGGCCCATCCTACCTTCTCCCGCACGTGTATATACTACAAACTTGAGGAAGCCATCCTCAGCTTGAAACACTGGGATCGTTTGACTTTTCCTGAAGCGAGATGCCAAGTCCGCTGTCTCCACCCTTTCACTGGCGTATCTTATGCTCGCATGTTGTGTTCTACCTCCCCTCGTCCTTCCCACCTTCCTCAGTCACACAACCATTTCCAGGCCTTTTACCCAGACACGCCCACCGCCTAATCCCGTTCCCTTACGTTCTGTCCCGAAGGGTCTCCCCTCTGGTTCTCCATCTGGAGTTTCTCACCTTCCTACCCAGTCCACCATGTCTCCTGTGCCTTCTTACCCATCTTCCCCGATCCTTCTTCCCATCCCTTCTCCCAGTCTCTTGACCCTCCACGCTGCCTGTCTGTCCAGGCTGTTGTCCATCATCCTCCCAGCAATCTTCATGTTGTTCACTCCCGTTCTTCTTCTCCTGTTGAGACCATTGAGTCTGTCGCCCAGTATGCTGTTGCTGGAACACCTGTCTCTTTGAGTCATAAACGTAAGTTTGGCTCCTCTCCTTCCTCCTCCCCAGCGGGTAAGAAGGCATCGCTTTCTTCTTTGCCTCCCAACTCTGACTCTATTGCTACGTCCGCTCCCATTTCGGTGGTCGGGTCCCCTGTCCCAGCTATGGAGGTTTCTTACACTCCAGATTCCCTCTCGATTGCTGCCCTTGCTGAGGTGCGCTCCCCGGTTTCTGCCTTGCTCCCCCGCCCCCCTTTCCTTCTGCTGTTTCTGACAGCTCCTCTCGGTTGTTTCCTCCTCTGGAGCCTGTCTGTCCGCCTCTGGTCTGTCCTGCTGCTCCCTTCCCTCCATCCTTACTATGTTTACCCATGCCCTCTAAACCTGATTTTGCTGACCCTGATCCTGATCCTGAGCTTATTTAATATACTGTGTTCTTCTTTACCATTGTTTCTTCATTGTTCTCTGTTGCTGTCCTTTCTCTTTTTGATAATTTCTATTCTTCAATGGAATATTCAAGGATTTTATGCCAACTTCCATGAACTCCAGCTTCTGATTACACAGCTTTCACCACTTTGTGCTTGTCTCCAAAAGCCAATGCTTGGTGCTCGTGCTGGTCACTTTCGTGGTTATTCCTTTCTTTCTCCCCCCCTCCCCCAGCAAGAAGGGGGAGGGGGGTTATGGAACCCAGCAAGAGCCCCCCCCTGCCTCTTGCTTACCTGCTTGATACCTGCTTGATGGGGTTCTGGGAGTTCTTCTACTCCCCAAGCCCGGCCCGAGACGAGGCTTGACTTGTGAGAGTTTGGTCCGTTGCTTGGAGCAGTCCGCAGGCCCACATACCCACCACAGCCCGGCTGATCCGGAACCTTTCTTTGAAAACAGTTCAGTTTTCTCTTGAAGATGTCCATGGTTGTTTTGGCAATATTTCTTATAGTCTCTTGCTGGGGCCCATAACTCTACTGCTCTCTTGATTTGTACTGATATTCCCTTCGTCTTTTCCCTACTTTTTCCATCGCTTATCCAGGGACTGAACCCCACAATTCATTTAGCTAAGCAAGTTACAATCTTGATGAACTAGTTATAAAATTCAGAATAAGTTTCCACCATTACGTTCGATACTCCTCTGCCGCAGATCTGGAAGAAGATCCGCAAGATTGCGGGCAAGTTCGTTTCGGATGTCTCGCCGGTTCTCCACCTCTGTGGTACTCTGTGGCGGATCCAGTGCAGGGTGCGACCGAACTGGGTTCCCACTTTTCTTCTGTTAGCTCTGGTTCTCATCTTCCTCAATCCTTCCTTCCTTTGTAAGCCTGTTCTTGAATCTTATCCTTTAGATTTTCGCACTCATCTCCGCCTTCCCTATAACGATCCTCTCTCTCTTTCTGAACTTCAGTCTGCCCTGGCTCTCTGCGGATCTACTGCGGAGGGAGATGCTTCGCCATCTCCCTCCGTGCACGTCTCAGTATTTACTGAGTCTGTATAACCAGATCTGGGAGTCGTTGTCCGTCCCTGAGGACTGGCTCGATGCCATTGTACTCCCTATTCAGAAACCAGGGTCTCTCGGTACGTCCCCTAAGGACTTCTGCCCTATTGGTCTCACAAGTTGTGTTTGCAAGCTCTTTGAGCGTATGGTAAATGTCCGTCTGATGTGGTTCTTGGAACACCATCGCCAACTCTCTCCTTCTCAATTTGGTTTTCGCAAGTGCCGCAGCACGACTGATGTCCTGGTGAACTTGGAGGTCTATATTCGTACTGCTTTTGCTGCGAAGACCTCCATTGTTGCTGTCCTTTTTGACCTGGAAAAGGCTTATGACATGACTTGGAGATACCATATTCTGTCCCAACTTCGTTCTTTTGGCCTTCGTGGTAATCTCCCTCTCTTCCTTCAAACTTTTCTCTCTCGTCGTACCTTTTGGGTCAGGCTTGGTGCCCCTCTTTCTGCCTCTTTTCAGCAATACGAAGGTGTGCCCCAGGGTAGTGTTCTGAGTACTACTCTTTTTCTGGTTGCCCCTCAATGGTCTTCTTTCCTCCCTTCCTTCCGGCATCTTCTCTGCTCTTTATGTTGACGATCTTACTCTTTACTGTCGGGGTGATGATTCGCCTTTCCTTCAACGGCGGCTTCAACTTGCGATTGATGCCGTGTCATCTTGGGCCACCAATCATGGCTTCAAGTTCTCTAGTACTAAGACTTGTGCCATGACTTATTCGGAAGCGGGTCGTTCTTCGTCCCTCTTTGTCACTTTATGGTCATCCCCTTGAGTACAAAGATTCCGCGAAGCTTCTGGGGTTATTCTTTGACACTCGTTTGTCTTGGTCGCCCCATGTCTCTTACCTCCGTGTTGAATGCTCTAAGGCCCTTAACCTACTTAAGGTTTTGTCCCATACTTCTTGGGGAGCAGATAGGCGCACGCTCCTCTATTTGCATTCCTCTCTAAACTTGATTATGGTTGCCCTGCCTACTCTTCTGCTTCTTCTACTCTTTGCCGTCTTGATCCTTTGCGCCATACTTGGTTGTGCCTCAGCTCTGGTGCTTTTCGTTCAACTCCTACCCTCAGCTTGTACGCTGACACTGGCTTTCTGTCTCTCCAGGATCGCCGTGATCGCTACAGTCTTCGCTATCTTGCGCGATCCTTACAGCATCCTTACTCTCGCCTCTATCGTGCTTTGACTTTTACCCCTCCTGTAGTTCCTGTTCCTCTTCACCTCCTTCCTCTTTCTGTCCATTTGTCTCGCTTACAGGATTCTCTTTCAACTCATATTACCAATGTTTCTCCTCGTATTGTTCCAGCCTTGCCCCCATGGAGGGTCCTCCTTCCCAAATTTTGTACTTCTCTGACCCACATCACTAAAGCTTTTACCCCTCCTGTGGTGTTTGTGTGTTACTGAGGAAGTCTTGGTTGTAGGGTTGATATAAAGCCATTGCTTGGTTATTGACTTTAATACTTATAAACGATTACATGACTAGTAGCTACCAAGTTTGGCTGGCGTCCTGTACGCTCTGTTGTTTATCTCCTACTCACGTCTGAGCCACAACACACACAAACGGATGGTACCGTTTTCTATGAACATGACACCTCCTACAGTTCTGAAACGCCTCTTCCTTGAGCACTTTTCTTCTCACTCCCACTCCGTTCCCATCTTCACCGATGGGTCTAATTCTGCTGATGGTGTGGGCTACTCTGTTGTTTTTCCTGACCACACTTATATGTATCGCCTTCCTCCGGAGGCTAGCATCTTCACAGCAGAACTCTATGCTATTTTCTATGCTCTTCGTCTCCTGCTTTCCCAGTGTCACTCCTCCTTTGTGGTGGTAGTTAACTCTCGTAGTGCCCTCATGGCGTTAGGGTCCTTTAATCCGGTCGGTGGTTGTCGAGATTCAACATTGGCTGTTTCTTATCTCCAGTAAATTTAAGTCAGTTGCATTTTGCTGGGTTCCCAGCCATGTTGGTGTCTCTTTAAATGAGCGTTCGGATGCTGCTGCTAAGGAAGCTATCCGCGCTTGTCCCATCTCTTGTAAAAGTATTCCTTATTCCAACTTTTACCCAGTTATTCATGCCTCCATCCTTGCCCACTGGCAGAGTTGTTGGTCTTCTGTTATTGGTAACAAACTGCATACTCTTAAGAGTCGTGTGTCCCAGTGGCCTTCCTCCTGCCACCGTAACCGGCGGTGGGAAACGGCTCTGGCTGGGTTACGTATTGGCCATACCCGTTTAACTCATGGTCACTTAATGGAGCGCCGCCCTGCTCCTTATTGTCCACATTGCATTGTCACTCTTACGATCATGCATATCCTTGTTGAATGTCCTGACTTCCAGGACGAGCGTGTGTCTTGTTTTCCGACCGTTCTCCACGGTCGCTTGTCCCTTGATAGAATTCTTGGCGTCTCAGATACTTTTGATATCGTTCGCCTTATGCTTTTCTGTTCTCGTATTGGCATCCTTGATGATATTTAGCGCCCTCTGATTATCCCGTACATTTGATGGTGCTACATAGCCTTCCCGGTTTGGTTCCTTCTATTGATAATTACTTACTTACAATACATTGGTATTGATGAAATAATTACAGACAGGATGTTTAAGCTTATCAGTAACTCAACGAGAGAATATTCATGAAGCTAAACATGCAGACAAGTCATAGTTATGTAACGAAACTCTTCTTCAGTTTCAAGGCATTTACGAATAAAGTTTTTGAATTGAATTTTAACAGAATTGAGATATGATGAAGAATGAAGGAACTGACAACGTTTTGGTTCTTCCTGCATCATTGTCAAGTCGTGTAATTACTAAACCATTACAGGACTTGGTAATGGTTCTGGATGAACCAAAACATCAATTTATCGGAACTTATTTTAAGATTTCGAGGGTCGAGTGTATAATTTTCAGCCACATAATTGTGACTTAGTGTCTGCAAGAAACGATGGGGTAACTTACCCAGCCTCAGTGTAAGATTGACCTGGTTTGGGAACTGGATGCCCTCAAACATGGTCTCGGACTGCCACCAGGTATGGTTATCATTGTTGTTGAAGTCAGTGAGGTAATGGGAAGGGTGGGCGAGGTGTGGTTCATAGGCATTGCAGATCTCGCAAGCCTTTTGGGAACCGTAGCCGCCCGTCTGGAGGCAGTACTCCTGCGGCCGCTGAACTCCACATGTGTTGGTATCTTCCACTGGCCGATTGTACGCTGCATTCACAAACTCCGGAACACATTTCTGTAAGAGAGAAGTATCCTGTAGTTAGCTGATACAGACTCTCTACTGATGTTCAATGCAAGTGACTATACAGGTGTTGAGGAGGAGCTATGAGAACATGGTGAATAATAAAGGGGGTGTATATCTACACACATGATACCTCTCCTGTCTTGTATACAGGTGACTCTTCTCTCAACACAACAACAATCTTGCTCATACAATTACCGCTTGCACCAGATGGTCATGCCACCATCAGTGGGGTTAAAATCCAGCTGTGAATAACGAGCTGTGCTGGTGGATCAACAATTGAAAAAACAAGTGTGTCACATCACAGCAATGACTGAATTGGGTATATCAGTTCAAAGACCAACTTATGACAATAGAATCTTGCTTAAGAAAAACAGCATTGAATGTTATGAAACACCACTTTCTGGGCGAGACCTGGAGGCTCCCTCCAGGGGCCTCGTAACCTGGTGGATAGCGTGCAGGACTCGTAATTCTGTGGCGCGGGTTCGATTCCTGCATGTGGCAGAAACAAATGGGCAAAGTTTCTTTCACCCTGAATGCCCCTGTTACCTAGCAGTAAATAGGTACCTGGGAGTTAGTCAGCTGTCACGGGCTCCTTCCTGGGGGTGGAGGCCTGGTCGAGGACCGGGCCGCGGGGACACTAAAGCCCCGAAATCATCTCAAGATAACCTCAAGATAACCTCCCTGGAGCTGATATGTAAGTATTAGCTTTCTGGCATCAAAGTGCATGGAGTTCTTGTCTACTGGGGACCATGAGCCAGAACCTGACCCACTCAGAGAGGCACTAGGAGCAATGTCCTATAAAAAACCCCGTGTGGTTGGGATGAGTCTATGTCTGACATTGACTGGGTCTGGCACCCAGAAAGATAGGCGCCCCAAAACAAACCCCTATTCTGGTGAAAATATTGCTACTGAAAGCCGAATGAGTGGACACAACTTCCCAACGAAAAGTAGCAAATGAACATGATGTCTTCACATTCCCGCACTGCTGTCTGCGTAACCCATCCCTCCCTGGGAGGGGGAAGCCCCAGACCCTCGTGCCGGCGATCCAACCGGCAGTTCTTAGGCTGGATGTCAAAAACATGCAAAAACACTGCCGACCATAGGGTGGAAGGGATTCCAGGGAACCTCCAGGTCTCACCCAGAAAATGGTGTTTCATTACATTCAAAGCTGGTTTTCTGAGGGAGCCCCGTTGGCTCCCCGAAAAATCAACTCCCCGGAGCTACCTCGCCAAAGATAAGGAAAAAGAGGGACGGACCCGGGAGACGGACTCCATGTGCCCTAAACTCAAAATCAAGACAACTGGCAAAATGAAGAATTCTGCGGACAACCCAGGAAACCTGAACCCTGGAACAGAAAAGAAGGAAGGAAGGGAACCCGAGCAACCCAAAGCACGTCCATGGCCACAGAGGCCACGCCACACAGATCACAGTGGAGAGCCGCAACCCAACACAATACATGATGCACCCCGGCCTGATCAACCAAGCATCAAGAACCCAAGGACCCCTCCAGCAGTAGAGGCAATCACTGCCAGAAAAGAAGACAGCTGCAAATGAATAAACCTACCACCAGGACCAAACTATCAGAAAAAACCCTGCACAGGAGGAAAGCATGAAGCTCCCCAACCTGACCCCCAGAGGCCAATGCCAACAGGAAAAGTACCATAGAAAAACAATCCTGAACTGAAAGGGCCACAACAAATTGGGGGGAAGAGAGAGAAAAGAGACAACCCAGTCCAACAACCAGGATGGCTCAGGATACGTTCACGCAGCCCGGAGATGAAATAATGCCCGAGACAGCTTGTGGAACAGAACAGAAGTAACATCAATACCGAACGCAAGCTGCAGCAGCTCTGCCAGTGCCGCACGATACGAGGCGACAGTATTCGGCATAAGATGACGATCCTGAAACAACCACGAAAGGAAGAACAAGACAACCCTATCAGAGACCGAAGTACACCTACGCAGGAACTTCATACTGCCACCGAGATGAAGCACGCAGGTGGGAGAACAACGATGAAGCCACCTGCACCCCCGACAAGGTATGAGAGACTCGAGTCAGAACTCCAGACGCGAAGACTCGAGGAGAATAATGAACCAGCCTCGTACCGGCCTGGACCAATCTGCTGAGAGGCGACACCGCAGGAAGACCCTCGGTTTTGGACATCGAGCAAGCAGCGCCTGAAACCAAGGCTGGGCCGGCCACCAAGGAGCCAGAAGGACAGCTCTTCCTTGAAGAAGGCTCCCAGAAGCGAGCCAGGACCTGGAGTAACAGCTGAACTGGGGAAAAGGTCCTGCCTGAAGGCATCGACCCCGACGGCCTCGCAGTCGGGGAAGGGCGCCACATACACTGGGAGATGCCTCGACCACGCCGATGCAAAGAGATCCACTTCCGGAGGCCCAAATGTCTGGCAGAGCCAACAGAACGAGTTGGCATTAACAGTCCATTCAGTGGACAGGGGAATGAACCAAAACAGGTTGTCTGCCAGGACATTGAACACCCCCCAAACGTGAACCGCCAGGTGAGTCAAACCACGAGAACTCAGCAGACGAGTGACCCAAAGCGACCAGCCCCAAAGAGCCAAGGACCGCATTGAACCCCCCTCAATTCAGGCAATGAACCACCAGGGAACAGTCCAAATGGAGCCAGATTGTCGATCCGCGAGCGATCCGAATTCTCCTGTGTGACATCTACACAACCGCGAGCTCCCGCACTGTGCTGTGAGCCCGACGGAAGGATGGACCCTATTGTCCCTGGCCGGCCTGGTGAGTACTGAACACAAAGCCCCAGTCAAGAGACTATGCATCCGTGAAGACATCGAGCAAGGTCTCGGGTAGGTGCCAAGGCCCTGAACCCCACGAGCGAGGCGGAAGGGATGTCCACGAAGGAACCAGAACAGCCAACAAAGCAACACCTGACCCGGCGGGTAGACCATCATGGCAAAGTATACGCTCCTGCACAAACCCTCGAGCAACTGCCGCATGACCTGGGAGCCCCTCAGGAACAGATGAAGGTGGGAATGAAGGTGAAGCAGACCCACTGGAAGAAGAGACAAGGAAGCGGTCCGAGCGACCCACACAAAACCCAGCCAAGACCGAACCTGAGAGGAACCAAATGGAACTTCTGCCACGTCACCAAGAACCTGAACTCAGCAAGCTGGGAAAAAACCAAAACCCTGGCGAGCAGAAACATGGACTGGCTGGGAGCCCAAACCAGCCAGTCGTTGAGGTAGGCTAGAACCCAAACACCTAACAAACGCAGGTGTGCTACCACGACCCGAGTAAGGCGTGTGAAAATGCGAGGCACCAGATGCAAGCCGAAGGGAAGACCTACCACAATGGGAAGAACCTCACGACCCTTCCAGGAAGGCCTCCCACGAGCTCCCCGAAGGACTAACAAGTCAGACATAGGACGGCAACTTGCCCAAGCTGCCTGCAGATACCGCACAACTGCAGACTCTGCAAACAGCAACGAACAAAAAAGCAAAGACAACCCAAGAGCCAGAGCTAAAGCGGATTCCAAGGAAGAAGCGAGCACTGCCTGCCAACATGCAAGTCGTGAAGCAAAGAACGTGAAAATCGCATCCCCGGAGTGGCACGAACCGCTCCAACAATGCAGACGATGCACACACCATCCAAGTCACAAACCATCCAAGTCACAACACCAACTAGACCCTACCCCACCTCCGAGATCTCTTCCATATTTGTTAGGTATTTAAATAAAGCGGATAACGAGTAATGACAGCGAACTCGAGAAGGATTTGGATATACTTTGGTTGTTTTTCAGGGACAAAGGATACCCAGTCAGGCAGAACTAAATTTATCTGAGGGCCACTAATACTATAATACTAATGGCTTTGAGGACAGGAAGCCAGCAGCTTGTCAAAGGTCCCCCCATTTGCCCTAATGATCTTTTCTAGCCATTTTAAAACATAGCAGAATTTTGGCATTTACAGCTTTGGCAGGAAGGTGGTTTCACGAGTTAACAATCCAATGGGTGAAAAAGCCTCTCCTGTTTTCTGTCCTACATTGTGGCTTGTTGAGCTTGAACCCGTTGCTCCTCGTTCGTGTTACATCTGACCTTTTGAAGAAACTATCTGGATCAACGTCCTCCAAATTGTTTTGTATTTTGAAGGTTTCTATGAAGTCCGCCCTTTCATGCCTGGTCTGCAATGTTGTTAGTGCAGTGGCCTTCAACTGTTCTTGATACGAGAGCTGACTAAACTTTGATATAATTTGTGTTGCCTGGCGTTGCACCTTCGCCAGAGCTGCTATGTCTTTCTGAAGATGGTCTCTATGCCTGGACTCAATAATCTAGGTGGGGGCGCACTAAAGACTTATATAATTGAACGAATAATTTATTTTCCATAAAGGTAAAGGTACGCTTGATTATTCCCAGGGTTTGGTGCGATTTTTTTTTACTAATGCTCCCACTTGTGCAACTTTTAGTGAATGATGGATTCTGACTCCAAAGTCCTTTTCTTCATTTATATGTTGTAAGGTAGTGCTGTCAATTTGGTGGTTGTCTCGTGTGTTGTTATGCCCCACATGCAAGGTCTTGCATTTATCGACATTAAAAAGCATTTGTCAGTCATCTGACCATTTGTGGAGTTCATGAAGATCTCTTTGTAAGATTTCAATATCACTTCCCTCTTTACCATCCGGACATCCGAATGGTAAAGTAGTCCAGAAGCTCCTGACAACTTCTTCAACTTCTTTATACATGATATCCAAACCCCTGTAAACATAACTACATTCACCGTGGCGTAGTGGTAAGCCCGGCGTTTCGCAAGCATGCTGTCCTGTGTTCGTATCCTGGCCAGGGAGGATTTACCGGGCGCAAATCCCAAATCCTTAACTGTAGCATCTGTTTACTCAATAGTAAAATGGGTACTTGGTTGTTAAAAGTATGGCGGGGTCATGCTTCCCCAGTAAGCAGCCCCAGTAACCCAGTAACAGCTGTCTAACTCCCAGGTACTTATTTACTGCCAGGT